GTACCAGACAAAAAGGGCCAGCAGACGAAATCAAATAAGCAAGATGGCTCAGGTACCAGACAGAAAAGGCCAGCAGACGAAGTCAAATAAGCAAGATGGCTCAGGTACCAGACAAAAAGGGCCTGCAGACGAAATCAAATAAGCAAGATGGCTCAGGTACCAGACAAAAAGGGCCAGCAGATGAAGTCAAATAACCAAAAAACAGCAACAACTGCCTGAGGCAGCTTTGCGGATGTTCACTCTGTTAAAGCTGTTCTTCACGTCCGCAACGGACACGGTGGGAGTGATGTCATGCAGATCTGCCGGAGCCTGCTCTGGAGGGTGAGAGTTAGCGAGCTCAAAGCGTGCATAGAATGCATTCAGGCTGCCGAAAACGAGTGTGTGAGCTTGCGGTTTATAGTCCGTCAGCGTCTGAATCCCCCTCCACATCTGACGGGCGTCACGTGTGCAGTTAAACTGGGAGTCCACTTTACTGCTGTACTCCCGTTTCACGCTCCTGATGGCTTTCCGGAGATCGTATCTGCATTTTTTGTACAGGTCCGCATCTCCGGACTGGAAAGCACGCGTGCGCTCGCGGAGCTTTCGGCGGATGGTAGCCCAGGGTTTCTGGTTGGGGAATGACCGTACAGTTTTAGTGGGAATACATTCCTCAACGCAGGTCTTAATGAAATCAGTGACTGCAGTGGTGTACTCGTCCAGGTCAGAGGATGAATCTCTGAACATGTCCCAGTCCACACAGTCAAAGCAGTGCTGAAGTTTCTCCTCTCCCTCCCATGTCCAGCGCTGCACCGTGCGTGTCACCGGCTCCTCACGCTTTAGTATCTGCTTGTAAACAGGCAGTAACAGCACCGCGCTGTGATCGGAGGTGCCCAGGTGCGCGCGAGGCAGAGAGCGATATGCACCCCGATGTTCGGTGTAGCAGTGGTCGAGCGTGCTGTTTCCCCGAGTGGGGCCGGAGACATGTTGGTGGTATTTCGGGTACACACTCTTAAAATTCGCTTTTGCTATGCTTAAAGAAAATTGTCCCTTTCCTGCCTTGTTTCTGTGTTACATTTATGGATAACTCTTGTGTTACCTACTTAGCAGGAATTTTGCCCAAAGCAACATACAGCTGAGAAAGCAGGGCCAACCAAATCACTCTACCAACAGTGGGATTTGAACTAATGACCTTATGATCACACACCCGGGGACCAAACCTGTAAAGCCACACCCCACCCTCCTCATATTAGGCCAGGAACTTGTGTTATTTTACATGCACTCATGACAATAGGAGTAACGGCGTGACAGTAGAAGTAACCCATAGGTTCCTTAGCACTGAAAATAGCCATCAGTTACTAGCAGTAACAGAAAACAGACTAAAAGACAGGCACCTGAAACAAGTAGCTGGAGATGATTCACATTATATATGTCAGTCTCAGTTTGCTCCCCCCACTCCCCGCCCACCCCCCGCTCACAAACCCCCTTCACCTTC